CCAGCCCTGCTCGTGGCTGCAGCACACCAGGGCTCCTTGCAGGGAAGAAAACACTGAGCAAGGAGAAACACACAGGGCATCTTTCCAGGGGAAACCTGCTTTTCACACCAAGAACAGCAACAGAAAGGAAGAGAAATTAAAACCAACCCTTTTACCCCCAATACTCACTGCATTTTTTTGTTTTAAAGTTTTGCAGCTGTTAGTGTGATGTTTCCAGTGGTACCCCAACACCTCTGTGTGTAGGACACATTAAAATGAAATGGGTGCAATCAATCCTCAGGTCAAGAGTCCCACCAAAGGTGTGTTTGTCAGGGAGGGAGAAACAAGGATGGACACACAGCAGGGTGGCTTGGGCTGGCATCTATCATATGGCCAGTGGAAGTCCCTGTGTTCCCAGCCATGGCTTCAGCCCACATTCCTCCCAATGCCACATCCATCAGCTGCATTAATGACAAAGACAAAACAGCAAACACCAGTCTGTGCAAAGTGAGGGTTAAAATCACGTAGGAAATGCTATGGGAAAAACCTGTTTTAAAGGAATTAATTTGAAACTCTGATGGGCCTATTTGGGTTACTTGCAACGTGCATAGACAGTCCCATTAAATATTCATTGCTTGGTGGAGTCCCCACTCCCATCACAGATGCGCCGAGCTAAAACTGGAGTAATTTCATTTATTTTTACCAGAGTTGCTTTCAATTCACTGCACTGCAAAGGAATCAGGATCCCTACCCCACCACCCAAGGCAATTTCCCTGAGGAAAGCCTCTTTTCTCCAGCACGCCTAACGAGCATCCTCTCTTATCTTTTGATAACTCAACTAGAGATCTGAAGAAATCCTGACTGGCATTCCCAGTCCTTGCAGTTTGGATGGGAATTGTCCTGCAAAGTAACCCAAATGTGTCTGTCTGGCACAGCATGTAACTGAGCTGCTTTTGCATGTGCATCTGCTACATCCCCCCGCTGGAAAAGCTGCATGGAATGGTTAGCTGGGATGGAAAATTTAGCTGGGGACAGAGTCCTGGGGCTTGGGGGGGTCTTCAGGGTGCAAAGGTTTCCCACGGTTTGGAAGAGGCACAAAAAGGGTTTCTGTCTTTCCTTGGTTCACATGAGGAAAAGCAGTACAAATCAGCAAGGAAAAGTTAGCCTGCCTGGGACAAACCCTTTGCTGGAGCTCTGTTTTAGGGCAAAACAGGGGATCATTAGCAGTGTCAGTGACGGGTGCCTTCATCCCCACCATCCCTCCTCACCCCAGAGCATCCTCTGCAAGGCTGCCAGGTAAAGAGGGGGCATTAGAGGTGCTGGCCACAGAGCCCTTGTGCTGTCCCTGCTTTTCCACAACCTCAATGTGCCCAAAGCCAGCTGTTCTGTCCTAGTCAGGCTCACCAGGATGGGGATGATGTCTTTGGATACATACCTACTTCGTATAGGAGAGAGAGAAAGCAGCTGGGGATCTCATCTAAAAAGGAGAAGTGGGCAGATGTGAGATCAGGCCGGTGCAGAGGGTTTGGCCAGGGAAGGTTTTTTCCAGTAAGAGGTTTGGGGAAGTTCCTGTCAACTGAGTGCTGAGCTGGAGAGAAACCAAAGGGAACACTTGCAGCACCACAAGGCTGATGGCGCCCATAGTTACAGAGGGTACTGCACCCCAACCCCACCAATTCTTCCCCTTTCAGCCCTAAAGCTACCAGTTTGCCAGAGGGAGAACTATGCCCCCCTTGTCCCACACCTTCCCCCTTTCTCCAGCCCTTCAGAGGGCTGACCCGACACCAAACCCGACCTTTCCCCACCTCCCCACCCGGTGGGCTCTGACCCTCGGTCCTGCATCCTTGCAGGGCAGCTGGATTACATCCCGCAGTGCAGCGGCCACGGGAATTTCAGCCTGGAGTCGTGCAGCTGCGTGTGCATGGAGGGCTGGGCGGGCAGCAACTGCTCGGAGCCGCGCTGCCCGGGGGGCTGCTCCAGCCGCGGCGTGTGCCTGGAGGGCCAGTGCATCTGCGACAGCGACTACGGCGGCGAGGACTGCTCGCAGCTGCGCTGCCCCGCCGGCTGCGGCTCCCGCGGGCTCTGCGTGGACGGCGAGTGCGTGTGCGAGGAGGGCTTCGCCGGGGAGGACTGCTCGCAGCTGCGCTGCCCCGGGGACTGCTCGGGCCGCGGCCGCTGCGAGAACGGCACCTGCGTGTGCCACGAGGGCTTCGGCGGCCGCGACTGCGCCCGGCCGCGCTGCCCCGGCGCCTGCAGCGGCCGCGGCCTCTGCCGCGACGGGCTCTGCGTCTGCCAGGGAGGCTACGGAGGGCAGGACTGCTCGGCAGGTAGGGGGTGGGCAGAGCCGGGCTGGGGGCTTGCCTAAGAGAGGGTTTGGAGGTGCGCGGAGTACCGTAGGAGCCTGGGGAGAAAGGCGTGCCTGGGAAGAGAGTGATGCAGAGAGCATCGCTTTCGCACAGGGTGGTTGCCTCCCTGTTATCCCTGTTCCCAAAGACACCGTGATAAAAGTTTGGGAGGCGAGGAAAAAGCTAGTGAGGGTCATCCTATCGCTACGTACAAATCACAAACAAGGTGACACTGCTAGGAACGTGCCTTGAGCTGTTGGATTTTCCAGCATCAGCCTCATTACATGGTTATGACAATGGGAATTGTCATAATTCACATCCTAGCAGCTCACATGCCAGACAGCAGACCAAGAATTTAATGTTACAACTTACTTTAAAAGTTTTTTGACCAATCACACGAGGCAAAAGCGTATTGACAGTAGTTCTAGTTCTATCCAACCACTATAAGAACACATACCTTCAGTTAAAACAGTGCTTGCTTATTTTGAATATAATACCTACTTGTAACCTTAAAATACAATATACAAAACTTTATTATTAAGCTTAAAACTTCCTAATATCTTACTAAATATACTTTTCTACAACTTAATTTTTTTTCTAAACAAACATTAATATCCAAACCATTGTTCTATTTATCCTTACTTTTCTACTTCTTACATAACTTTTCTACTAACCAATTTTATAGCTACTACTTAACTCTAATCACAATTCTACTATCTCTAAAACCTATCTTTTAGAATTTTCCCAAAACCCTCTAATTGTATGAATTCCCACACATCCCAGCATGGGGGCTAAACCTTTAGTGCCACAGGTTCTCCTGTGCTTTTACCTGTTCAGACAGCCACAGCTAGCACATAACCCCCAGCCCCTGCCCATGGCAGACCTACACACCCTCGCACAGGAGTGCCAGGCACACCCTGACACTCTCCATACCTCTGCCCTTCCCACCAGTGTCTCCTCCCGAGAACCTGCGGGTGACGGGGATCAGCGACAGCTCCATCGAGCTGGCGTGGGACAGCCCCGGGGCAGCCACCGAGTACGTGGTGTCCTACCAGCCCGCCGTGCCAGGGGGCACCCAGCTCCAGCAGAGGCTGCCTGGGGACTGGAGCAGCGTCACCATCACGGATCTGGAGCCGGGGGTCGCCTACAATGTCAGCATCTATGCGGTCATCAGTGACGTCTTCAGCATCCCCGTTACCTCCAAGGTGATGACTAGTAAGTATCCTACTGCACTTGTCGCTTGCTTCCCATATATCCTGAGGGGATGCTCAAGCTGGCTCACTTTTTACGTAAAAAAACTTCTAGCAGCAGAAACTTGAGCCTCCAAAAAGAAAAAAATAATGTATCTGTATAGGGATATAGGAAAGGGAGAAATGTGTCCACCCTCTTCAGAAGGATTCAGTTTGGGTGAAAACTTCTTCTAAAAAGAAGAAAAAGCTTCCAGAGTTGGATCGAAGCCCCCAGAATGTGGCCCAAAGCATTACATTTTTTTCCTCAGAGAAAATACTACAATATAACACAGAAGTCTCAGGTTGTTCTCCCATGCCTGAACGGATGATTCCCTGTGATGACTCCCCATGATAGTGCAGCAAGAGGGAATGCTGCTGTGCATCAGGAGAAACACAGTCCTGACCAGGACTGTGATGCACAGAGGAAAACAGGAGTATCAGGCTGTAATGCCAGCCTCCAAAGGGGTTTCTTGGAGACTAAGGATAGAGAGGGCAGGGGAAAAACAGAAACTATCCAGACACCCCTTTGCAACCCCAGCACTCACTCTGTTCACACAACAGTGCAGTGGGATGATGCCTCAGTGTCCACAGGTCCAGGCACTTCCCTCTTTTCCCTCCAACCCACATGGAGCAGGGAAAAAGGAATTTTGCTAACAGATACCAAAAGTTTCCCTGTTTTCATTGCCCAGATAACAAAATACCCTCAGGGAGCAGGGTGGGGACAGCAGGAGGTGCACACCCGCCCCACTCTGCTCACCACCCCTGCTCCCTTCCAGACCTCGCCACACCGCAGGGGCTGAAGTTCAAGACCATCACAGAGACAACGGCAGAGGTGCAGTGGGAGCCCTTCTCCTTCCCCTTCGACGGCTGGGAGATCAGCTTCATCCCCAAGGTACTGCTGCCACACCCACGGCACTGCAGGGTGTACCCTGGCAGCGCCCTGTGAGTGCACCCGAAATCCGTTTCCAATCACCCCCTTCCCAAAACACCCAGCCCGTGTTTGCCATTTCTGTGCTGCACATCAGACTCCCCAGACACTGCCAGCCTGCATTTCCCCGTTAGTTTTTGTGTCAAAACATGCGTGTCCTCAAAGCAATATCCCAAAAAAAAAAATCCAATGATATGAAAAGAAACCTTCCAGCCTCACTGCCTCTTGTTGTTGCACCCTCTTTTTCCTTCCCAATGAGTCTTTCTCCTCCTCCTCCTCCTCGCCCTGCTCTCTACATCAAGCTCCCCAAAGCAGCTTGGATCAAAGCGAGCAGCTGCTGGCTCTCAGACAACAACCTTCAGCACCCCCGAGTCACACGCACAGTTAATTCCTGCCATGGAATTTTAATCGCAGTGACGAGCAGGTAGAAATCGTGCCAGAAAAGATGAAAGGATAAAAATGTTGCCCTAAATACCCCGTATTTTTCTGTGCGCAGCAACAAAAATTGTACATCGAGTATTTAATCTATATTCATAATTTCTACACCATTTAGCCATAAGTATAGCTTCAATTGTACATGGAGCCTCTTTACAAGAGTATTCAAGCCCCAGCAGTAAAAGAAATGCTGATTAAGGGCTCAATTATGATGTTTTCACTTGTATAAAACCTTCACTGGAATCAAAGGCAGCTCTGGGCAGTGGAGAACTGCAGAATTTGGCCCCAAAGTTTTAAATGCTCTTAACTATGAAGTATCATTGCACAGCACAAAGCAAGGGCTCAATTGCTTTAAATAACTCAATTCTCTCCTTTCCAAAGAGTTGCTGGGAGATTATTGATGTGATGTTGGCTACATCCACATGCAAATTGTGTCAGAAGTTGAAGCTCATGTAATGCAGGTACAGACCCTGGGATAATTTGCAGTCACCATCAGGTGATCATTCAGGATTAAGGCTGAAAAATGTAGCAATATCAGAGAGAAGCTTTTGGTAGGAAAAAACAGCTCTTTCAAACATTTCACTATTACTAGGAATTAAGCTGAACAGCATCCCCCTGAAGCAAGTAAATGCAAACCATTGGTTCTTTTTTCTGTTTTTAAGCCTAAACTTAAAAGTACATGGCAACATTTTGGGATTTAAAGGCAGACAAAATGCAAAATGATGGCTGTTCCTGAATGCAGGGTCTTGGGTAGGGAAGGGATGTAGCTCACTGGGCTTTAAAGTTCTCAAATCCCTGAGTTAAGACATAGAGTCACAGGCATGTTCCTGCCCATCAGCTGCCAAAATTGGCCTCTCTTTAGTCTCTATCATCACCTTTTCCCCTAAAATTAGGCAGAGGGTGTTGTGTCCTTTACTGCCCTGCAAGCAGGCTTGCATGCCAAAACATTGCCACACCTCAAACAAACCCAAAACCCATTCCCAAAGGCTAAAAACGAGAGAGTTATAACTGCACCACCACAACCTCTGTGAGAAAAAATGACCCCCCTCTCTTCCCAAAAACTGGGTGAGGAAATGCTAATTTGGTCCTCAGCTTCCTGCAGAGCTCTTCCCATCTCCTTCCATGGTCTCTGTGATGCTCTCACCCCCACAAAAGCTGGGTCAGGCAGGATTGCCCATCTGCTGCCTGCACTGGGGATGGGGTGGGGAAAAGACAAAGAGAAGACAGATTTAGCAAAGAAAATTCGGAAAGGTAAAATGGTAACTGATGGCTAAAATGGAAGGTTTCCTGTTTAATGAGAAAAGGGATGAATATGAATTGAGAGTTATGTGCAAAGATTTGTTTAGCATGTTATTAGTGAAGACAGCAGCAAGAAAAGATCCTTTGTCCAAGCACTGGCAGGAAAGGTGACATGTGCAGTTGTTTAAAGCCTTGCAGTTTTTCAGGGCAAAACCACAAGGCATAAATGAGTGTACTAAAGATTGCTAAAAAGCAGGTGACAGCAAAATAAAGACCTCACAGCTTCATACCTATACATCAACAACAAAAGGCTCCTGGCACCTGAAGAGCAGGGAAAACAAGTCTAGCCAAGGCTTTGGTTTAATCATCCTTCCTCTTTCTGAACAGCAGAGGCACAAATATACAGAAGCTGGGGAGGGAGGAGGGATGGGGAGGATTTTGCAGCCCAACAACACGAGTACTTGGTGGGTGACTTCATCCCAGGTTTCTCCCTCCATGGTGGGGTGTGCCAAGATGATCTGGGGATGCAGAGCGGGCTGTGGAAGGATGCAACGTGGGGGGCACCTCCTGTGTGTGCATCAGTCCCCCCAAAAAACACCACTTGGTGGGGGAGGGCTAATGCTTGTTTCATTCCCTGACAGAATAACGAGGGTGGTGTGATCGCCCAGCTCCCCAGCACCGTCACCACCTTCAACCAGACGGGGCTGAAGCCAGGGGAGGAGTACACTGTCACCGTCGTGGCCCTGAAGGAACAAGCCAGAAGCCCTCCCACCTCCGACAGCGTCTCGACCCGTGAGTGAGCCTCACCTGGGGGCAGCACAACAGTGCCCAGGGCTTGGTCCCAAAAATAAAGTCCCATGGGCAGGGATGGACCTTGCAGCAAACATTGCAGCCACAGCTTCTTCGTGCAGTATTTTGTGCCTCTCTCTCCTAAATTGTCACAAGTGCAAAAACCGTGGTGAGGTTAATGGGGTTGGGAGTGAAGACTCAGTTCTGCTTTTATTGTATATCTGGATAAATTATTCTTCTCTTCTAATCTCACATTTTGGAGGCTGGATGCCCTCAAGAAATATATCTACAAATGTATTACTGACCCATATATAACAGATTAAAATTCCCACCCGCTTTTGTGCCACTAAATGCCCTCAATTCCCACCTATTCAGGCAAATCAGGCAGCAGGGCAGGGAGCCAGGAGCAGCAGCATGTCCCTTCCTAACCAATTTGTTTGCCCACTCACTGGTCCTTCCTCTAGATCAGAGGAAATTCCGCTGGGTCTTCTTGCTGAAGGAGATGCAGTGATGGGCAGAGCTCACGGGGGAGAAGAGGCTCTTCACACCAGATCTGTTGCGGTCTGCCTTGAAAGCCAGGCAGAGGTCTACTAGCTCCACCTGAGCTGTTCCGAGAGGAAACAGCACTTAAATAGCTGCCGGAGGGCTGTAATAAGGTGCTGCTAATTGAGGCAGCGGTGGGAGCGAGGGGAGGGTCCCTCCACAGCAGCACCTTTTGCAGGTCTGAGTTCCCCCGCACAGCCCTCTCCTCCTGCTTTGCCTCAGCGTTCAGCTCGACGTGGCTTAATAGAGACATCTCCTGGTCAAGCCAGAAACTTCCTTTCCCTGGCAAGTCAGCAAAAATAGAAGCTGGTACTTCAAACTCAAGGGCTGACCTTTGCAGGGAGTGCAGGTGGAGCGGTGGGCTCCAGGATCTGTGCTCTGTGAAGGCATCCCTGTGCTGGCGTGTCTGCCTTCCTCTACAGCACCCCCAGAGCTTTATCCCCACCACCCTTGCTCTTCCTCAACATCTTGTGCCAGGATCAGGCAGCAAAGGCATGTTTATGCCACAGAGCTAAGTAGATGTGGATCACCTGGATGGCTGGAGAGCATGAAGCAATTGGAGATTGAGGGTATGCATGACCTGGTCCTGGCCAAGCTGGACAGCCAGCTCCTCCCTGAACACTGGGACTGCCAGCTGTGCTCCTACCTCTGATGTTTTGCCCACAGACCTCACCTCACTACACCAAATTCCCCCATGTCCTTTTCTAACCATCCCCCCGCCAGGTCCTTCCCATCCCTGCCCACGTGCTGGTGCCCCAGAACTTCCAACTCTGAGGTGCAGCATTCAGCAGGCCCTTATTATATACTGTCATTATGTCAGGTATGTGTATATATGGTATAGTCTGAATTTCAGAACCAAAGTGGGCTTTTTCAAGCCACCTTGTGATCATCTAAGTGGTAAAACAGGCTGCCCAGCAGGCTTCATGCATGAGCACTGTCATGGCACAGGAGTGATGGCAAGGCTTGGCTCCATCCATCCATCCATCCATCCATCCATCCATCCATGTAGTGATTAAGTCCTGCTGGACTCAAAGCATCCATCAGCCAGCCTTGAGCCCAGGATGTCCAAAGGTTGAGTGTTGGGGGTGTGGAGGAAGGAAGGGCCCAAATCTCTGCCAAAAAAAAAAATAGCAGAAATGTCCAAAAAGGTCTCCCAATAGACCCCTGGTATGAATTTTTTCTAAAAACCTTTTATCTGAAAGGTTTTTTTGGACACCAACCATAGCCCCACACCCAGCTAGTTATGAAGATTCACCAGAGCAGTTGCATTTTCTCCTCTCTTCCCACTGCCAAGACACCAACAGCTTTATGAGCTGATTCCTCAGTTTAAGGACAAACCAGGAGCTGGCACCAAAGCAGGAACATTTCTAGAGACATTCCTCAGTTCTCAACACTTGGATCTTGTCCTTGGCCCCACGTTATTTAACACGTTGTCAACACCTTTCAAAAGACATAATACTGTTGCTGATAAATTTTGCCAATGATGGAAAAGCTCAGAAAAGAGTAAATTGCATAGAGGAACACCAATAAAAGTTTTTTTGATAGTTTGAAGAGCTGGGCACAAAGGAAAATGATGTTTTTTTCAGTGCAAAAGTACAAGCAACTGTCTAAGAGCAAAAAAAGTGTTGCAGTTAGATATAGGAGTTTTATATCCTTAAAAAGTCAAAGAGGAATAATTTTTGACAGCCAGATCAAGAGAAGGGCATGAGTTGCATTATGGCTGTAATGAGTGCCAATGAGAGAGCTGCTGTGTCTGCAGAAAGTGGAGAGGGTTCAGGAAAGAGCCAGGAGACTGGGACAAGGGACTGGGCACCCATGAGGACCACACCTGCTATAAGTATTTTGGGGTCAGGGTCACGCCTCTTGCCCGTGTCCCCAAACACCAATTCCAGCCGCTTTGAAGGTCAGCCTGAAGCATCCCTGAAGCTTGCTGTCCCCATCCAACTCCCCCAAAATAACGGGTGCCCGTTTTCCCCCCTCCGCTCCTCCGCAGTCATCGACGGCCCGACGCAGATCCTGGTGCGGGACGTCTCCGACACGGTGGCCTTCGTGGAGTGGACGCCGCCGCGCGCCAAGGTGGACGCCATCCTGCTGAAGTACGGGCTGGCGGACGGGGAGGGCGGCAGGACCACCTTCCGCCTGCAGCCCCCCCTCAGCCAGTACTCCCTGCAGGCCCTGCGCCCCGGCGCCCGCTACCACCTCGCCGTCAGCGCCCTCCGGGGTGCCAACGAGAGCCGGCCAGCCTTTGCCCAGTTCGCCACAGGTAGCTAGCCGGCCTTGCTGGGAGAGGTGGTGGGAGTTTTTGAGCCTCTGGCAAGCACGGGCTTGCTGCTGTCGGCAGATGGGCTGTGCTGCAACAAGGAGGAAAAACGGAGGGGTTTTTGCAGCTGGGGTTAGTGATACCTCTTTTTCTCCTGGCGCGAGTCAGCTGGGGTTTAATGTGGTGTGCTGGGAGAAGTGGGATGAAAAACACAGTGGTTAAGATGCAGGTGTAAATGCTGACACCTGAATGCAGGTGCCTTGCATCCCGTCAGAGACCAAGGCGGAGCAAATGGTCCAGCTCACCCTAAAATACACACCCTACAATGGCCCTCTGCCCCCACCCCTACTGCTAGTGGCTGCTTAGCCACTAAATGTCCAGTGCAAAAGGTCCTCTTTATGCCCTGTGCCCCACAGAGATGCTCATATAATCCCCAGGGCAGTCCAGGTGATCCCATATCCAGTGATGAGGCATGGATGGACTCCATCCCCCCATATTCAGATGATAAACCCCAAGCCAACCCCATCTTGTCCATGTTTTGCTGCAGCATCACGGCTGAAGCTGCCTGGGACACACATCCCCACCAGCTCCAGTGCCCCTTCAGACCCACAGCTTAGAACTCTAGAACTCAGCAGTTTACATCCTTAGGAGCACCCATAGCTCAATGCAGAACTCTCAAAAGCACCAAAATGTTCAGCCCAGGTCTGAGTTCAAGGGGACATTCGCTCCCACTCAGCATCATCAGCCAAGGCAGGTGCCTTGACCAAGGAAGCAGCAGTCAAGCAGCTGAAGCCAGCACATCCAGGAACATGGTTATTTATGTCTTCTCTGAACACCCTAATTGGTCAGTAAAACTTGAATTAATGTTAAGCCTGCAGATAGCTAAGGGATTTAATTTACCATGCCATAAAGGAGGAGTCAGAGTGTGTATTTCCGTGCTGGTTTACGGTATATAAATTGTCATGTACGTTACTGCTGGATACGAGGCTCCTACTGTAATAACTGTGGTACGTGAATTGTGTGTGTACATATCTCTGTAGATAAATATTTCAGATGAGATGCTTACCCCAGCTGATTTGCTGCATTGGCCTTCCTTGCTTTATTTCTATAAGCCAACATAAAAACACCCCCCACCAAACTCAGATCCATCACCATTACCCACTGTCCACTGGTGCCCAGCCCCAGCTGTTGCTCACTGGAGGAGTTTATTGGGCAAACCAGAGCAGATTCAGTACACAGCCTAAGCAGCACCAATAAACAAACCCTTTGGGCAGTGTCTGAGTGTGAATGAGCCTGTAAAGATGCTCATGGTTTTCTTCTAAGAGCAGTTCAGGCCAATGCATGGCTACTACAGAGCCCTTTTTGTCTTATTCACAGTGTCTCAGTTTCTTTTACTCTAATACGAGGGGAAAGAGTTTTCTTTCTGAAATAACATAGAGCTAGCTGCCAAACCAGTTTACCGAGCATGCTGCGAGTGCCCAGCATCTGCATCATCCTCCTGGGTGGCATCTCACAGCCTGTGCTGAGCAGGAGGTGAGAGCAAATGTTCTGGCCCTTCCTGCCAGGACATGCTCTGGGGAGGAGGGGACCTCCTGGATATCCCACCCAGGTACCCCTCTGTGGTCTTTAGGACAAGAGAAGAGATGAATCTGACTCCATGTTCTCAGAAGGCTGATTATGATATGATAAACTACTAAACTATAGAGAAAGGATACATCAGAAGGCTTAACAAGAATGATAATGAAAATTCGTGACTGACTCCTCAGAGTCCGACACAGCTGGCTGTGATTGGTCATTAAGTAAAAACAATTCACATGTTGGAAAACCATCTCCAGACCGCATTCCGAAGCGGCGAAACAGGGAGAAACTGAGGTTTCTCAGCTTCCCAGGAGAAAATCCTGGGATTTTTCCAGAGAATATGACAGTGACACCCCTCGCTGCCGAGGCAAGGCGCTGAGACCGTGCCTCTCTCCCTTGTGTTGCGCAGAGATCGACGCCCCCAAGAACCTGCGGGTGGGCTCGCGGAGCCCCGCCAGCCTCGAGCTCGCCTGGGACAACAGCGAGGCCGAGGCACAGAGCTACAGGGTGGTCTACAGCACCCTGGCCGGGGAGCACTACCACGAGCTCCTGGTGCCGCGCCACGCCGGTCCCACCACCCGCGCCACCCTCGCAGGTATGCGTGCGCCCTTCCTCGCCCTCCTCTGCAGCAGCTAGGGCAAAGGAGATCCCAAATCAGCACCAAGACTCAGTTGCACTCGTGCTGGCACAAGTTTGAGGTTGTTTTGGAGTTTGCTATTTACTGGAGAGAAGGTTTTCCTTGGGATAGAGCTCGTCTTCCCCTGTGGGTCTGGGTGCGCCTCCAAGTAATGCACCTGCAGCAAGGATCTGTCCAGGTGGCAAATAGAGCTGGCAAGGAGCAAAGGGAGAAATGGGAATAAGTCTGTTTAGGCTGATCTAAAACATTATTTCAGGGAAATATTATTTCACCCTTCTCTTTTTTGCTTGTTTGGAAAGCGCCATGGGTGATGATGCCCCGTGGGCAGTGATGGGGAGCCAGGCTGCCCGAGTTTTGTGCCTTTTTCCAAACTGGGCTCAAAGCAGACCCAAATCTAGAGATGCTGGTTTTGAGCAACGCCTTTAAGTGGTACATTATTCAGGCCAGCATAGGGGCTGCAAACACCACCCATCTCCCACTGCCAGGAAAGCCCCAAACACCTTATGCAGCAACACAGCAAAGCACCATGTGAGATGTGATTTCCTTGTTTCTTGACTAGAACTGCTTACCTCATGGATTTGCTGCTCTGCTGGCATATTTTGAGCAAAGAAAATAATTATATGCAAAAATGTTCTCTCATTCCTCTTGAAGTTCATCAGTATGGGAGGACACCAGGTTCTTCCATGTTGACTCTCAGCCTTCCCAGGACCTTCCATGGCTCAGGAATCTACCATATGAAGTTATAGGAGAAAGGTCAGTGGGAAAGCCAAAAGTAAAGTTACAGGCACAGCAGCAGAGTCACAAGAGAGGCTGGAGGGCAGCAAGGCAATTAGAGCAGTTATCTTGAAAAATGTGGAATGCAGAAAGAAGAAAAACGTCAGGGCTGGTTTGTTCTGTGTTCTTGATGAGGATGCGTGGGGAGAAGTAGGATGAGCTCAGAGACTCAGTGCTGGACTCCTGCTAGCTTTCCTTTAGGACATTTATTGGCTTTCTAGGTGAGAAGAAGCATTAAAATGGGCCAAATCCCCCTCCCTGGGCAGAGGCAC